CCTTCGACAGTAGTGCCACCACAGAGTCTGACGGAGATCATATCTGTTATCCGTAAGAAATGTTCTATCTGGCACACTTGCGCATTTGTCAGTAACTTCAATAGCGGTTATCTCTCCTCCTCCAAAGCACACAACTCGTTGCGAGCTAAAACCACGCGGTATTTAAGTATCTCTTGCAGCTGGTAGGCAATCAAGGGACACCAATTTTACACGCTTGTCATTTTGAATTCGCACTTGAATCCATCATAGGAAACCATATTCTACCAGGTTCATAGAGGCACAAGGGAAGCAGCAGTTTCCACGTTTAGGTTAGTATATCTAAGGGTAACAGGCAGAATTTTGGCGAAATCGGCGGTTGCCTGATATCGAACAAATCTCGTATGCTATTTAGTACGACAGAAACAAAGCTTTAATTTTTATGCGTTCTAACCTGGAAGCACCCCAATAATAGCAAAAACATTTCAATATATATCTCTCTTGGCACCGGAAAATCTAATCTTAAGTTGGAGAAAATCAGGTAGCATTTTTCCTGCAACCACATATCCACCATAATAACCAGGTCCCGTATTGATCGCTGGTGGTCGCCAGGGGTGTTTAGATTGTTTGGTCGTCTGCACAGAAGTTAGCTGAGTTCAGTTCTATGAAGGGAAAAGGTGGGCGAACGCCTTTCAACTTTCTACTGGCTAAAATAAAATGACAAGAGAAAAACGCATCTAATGAAACTGTCGCAAGTTCATCACTTGAGTTGATTATTGAGTAGATGCTTGGTGTACAGAACTGTTGCAAGAACTCTTTATGATAATGAGATTTTATCAATTTCCATGGTATGTTAGCAAAAAATCTCCAAACTGCTGACGTAAAAACCATCGGAAGAAAGAATCTCGGTCTAAATTGTGTAGGCCACATGCCCCTCATGCCTTTCTCGGAGATAAACAGTTAATATTCGACCGGATGATTTTAAAGATGAATAAAATTGAAGACTGTTATTTAAAATGTGTGGGATTTTCAACCGACAGTTCAACTGTCGTTTTCGACGATGTTCACGGAGTCAATTTGTAACCTGATAGGTTGGACCTAAGAAGGTCATTTCCGTATCTTTGTCTTTGTCGATAAATCCTTCTTATTTATTGGTTCCAAATCGTTAGTCGACCGCGTGCGTGGGCTGTGGAATCTCATCTTCATAGGAGAATGGAAGGGCTTACTTCCGTCAGGTTATATGGGTGCATTCAACGTTCAGATGAGTATTCAATCTTACACCTGGCGGTTCTAATAGGCAAATCCACAATGTCTAATGTATCTCTTTAACTTTCTGAAGAAACGTATCATCAGGCTGCCGCGTTCATTGAGAAACCGTACTAAGAAATTCCAGGCCAGGTAGTGGTAGGGATTCATCGCAGGGCAGCCCAATGGCAAAGTGCCCCAGCCCAAGTATTCTACCGAATTCATTGTTAAAGGTTCCATGCTGGATTAATACGTAGTCAATGTGCGTTGAATGCGAGATATTTGCATACTAGGAAGTAAATTAAAGGCGCTTGTAATTGTTTTACTGAACTAAAAACGTAGGTGAAAAGGTGGGAAAAAGGACAAAAAAGACTGAAAAGAAAGCCTGTGGACC